ATATGCAAAAGATATAACTGGTACATAAAATGGAAGGTTTGCTTCCAATTATACTTTCTCACAAATATTAGCAAATTTCTTGAAAACCAATTTCCTGATACTTTTTAATCCTCCAAAAGGGCATCCAGCTCCCAAAAGTTCTAGATACTGGGTAAGTACAAAAAGACCTAGGTATTTTAACCTCATCAACTCCAAAATGACAAACTGCCATCCACTGTGCTATTCATCCAACTTTAACCATTGGTCCTACCACATAGGCCATTTCTAAGGATTACACAGATGATTAATCAATAATAGAAACATTTAATGGTTGCTTAAATTTGTGGAGAAAAACAAAAAAGTATAAAATCTTGCACTTGCCATCCTTATAAACAATACAAAGCAGGCGAGTGACACAATCACTGGGGAGAAAGGAGGTATCATTTCAAAGACCAGCTCAAGAAAAAACAGCTAGCATGATGATTTACTGGCTGTAAAGAACAAGAGACAAAGGAGGTAGCAAATGTTTTGAGCATTAAAAACTGGGGAAACCAGTTATCTTAGATACCACCATAACTGCTATTTCCAATCTCTACACAACTACCAAGTACTTTTGGTTCTTTCTCTTATTTGTTTAGGTTTATTTCCCTTATTGTTTATATTTCTAAATATCCTCCCCTTCTGTTCCATTCCATGATCACTGCCCTAATTTAGGTTTCACCTATTTCAATACCCACTTTTCCAGTTTTCCTAACTGTAGTCTTATACTCCATACGCCAACTCCCTCCAGCACAACTCTTATCCCAATTTAAGGAATCTAATCAACAAAAAGCTCGTCATTCCCTTGTTCAAAATTTTTATTGTGTTCCAATTTTGAACAGATGAAATCTAAAGTGTTTTTTGCACAGTATAAAAGGGCCTTCATATTCTGAGGCTTCTTTACTTAAATGCCTTGTCTCATCTTCCACAATACCCCTCCAAGTATATTATGCTGTAGTAACGTAAACTACTTATAGCTCCCCAAGCCTGGGTCATATCCCCAATCCCTTATGCTTTTATACTTGTGCTGTGCCCACTGCTTGGAAAAATTTCCTACACTTTTCCATACAGAAAACTTTCACTTTTACATCAAGTGCCTACATCCAAATGGTCCTATTATATAAAGTCCACCTTTGGTTCCACCCAATAAACTCAGGCACACCTTCTACTTTCTTACCATGTTTTATATCATACAAACCAAATACCAAAAACACTGCCATAACGGAATTATTGTGGCATTTTTTATTCCAAACACTAAAGAGAAACCATTTTTAAAAAGTGCATTCCATATTATATGCACAAACCCTAGTATAGAGTCAATAGTCAATAAACATTTGTCAAGTGAACGAAGCTTGCTTTTACACATGGTAGATCTACTAGGACACTCAATGGAGACTAAGAGGTTACTAGAGATAAGAGATTGGCATTTGGGGAAAAAGGGTAGGACCAGAAGCATATATACTGGAATTAGCCACATAAAGGTAAGTTCAGAGAACCAAATATCCGTAAAAGAAAAGCATACAGGATCCAGGGAATAAAATTTCTGGGATATAAAAATTTAGAAGGGGAGAGAAAAGTGCAGGAGATAACAGGTAAAGAAGAAAATGAAACTATCAAAGAAAGTAAAACAAAAAAGAATCATGAGACATTACAGGAAGAAAACTAGCACAGTGATTTATTAAAAAAAATATCAAGAAAGGGGGTGGGGGTCAGAAGGAGCTTCCAGAAGGGGTCAATTGCCAGACAGTACTAGGATCAAAGGAAATAAAATTCCGAAGAACTGACAGTATTTCATAATTAGAATGTTACTGATAACCTCCATAGTCCAGAAGAGCAGAGGTGAAAGGAGCTTTAGTGGTTAAGTAACAAG